GTGTATTTTGGGGAATAATGAGAACTTTGAGGGTAAAATTGGAAATAAAAAGTTTAGGAGGTCAAGAAGGAGATGCAATGAAAATGGGCATGAGGCTAAAACCATGCGTAATTGGAATCAGCAGCAACAATTTTGGGTGGCCACTTGAAATTGGAAACTCAACAAATAAATTTACTTTTAATAAAAAAATTAGTAATATATGGCTTATTAGTTTTGTTTTTTTAATTAATGATTTAGTATGTGAGGAGAGGAGTGATTCCTAAGTCTCCATTGTATTAGTACGGCTTCTAATTCTATATCTATATACATGCTAAATGTGAGTTATTATATATTTTTAAAAAACTTATCTTCATCTTTTTATTTTCACTGTTTACGTACTGTTATAACCTTTGATTATTCATGTGTCTAGTACAAACATATGCAAGATTCGGATTCATGTATATACATAATATGTATACATATCTACTGTTGTGAATCTTGTGATATGCCAAAAATACATAGAACTAGCTAGTCACCTAAGTATACACCTCCATCAAGGTTTCCATTATAAGGTTATTGTTGCTTTGGCACCTTTTCTTTTAAGGGAAATTGGGCTCAACAACTATAAAAAAAATTATTATCCACTAAATAACCAATTCCCCTAAATCCAATGGTCACAATATATTATCACATCATACCATCATACCATATAATTATTATTCACCAAATTGACCCTTCTTTTAATCTTTTTTTTTTTTTGGGTAAGTGAACCTTCTTTTAATCTTTCACTTATGTATGTAATCATCCATTTTGATATTAATTAATACAACCAGAAAAAATCAAACAAAAACAAATGTCGTTTGACCTATAATTATTCCAGCCTAACACGGTTCTAATTATATAAAACATGAAAAATGATCCAAGACCAATTTTGTTTTTTCTGATAAAGATCCAAGACAAATTTTAAATCAATCTATTTTACGTAACCATAATCTATTGTAAAACAGATTTATATAAAACATATTCTAACCACCTTATCATATTAAAAAAAATTAGCGCGTTTTAGGATCAATACATATCTATCAACATATCTTCAACGTTGCTGCAACTTTTAACAAAATAAATAAGAAAGCCTCTTTC